GGGGCCATTCAACCACCCCCAGCAGACATGACCACGCCTCAGGTACCCACCACCTGCATAAATCATCACTCATTTCTGGGTCTGTCGCGACCGTGAGTTATGGCAGGAGGCAACTATGCTCCCTACATAGTGGGGACAGAGTAAGCTACTGTGAATCAGAAATACTCATGAGCTAATTCCTACGGGGGGGAGGTCTGTTCTGCGTGCCCAAACTTGTAACTCCAGGGATTTCAAAGCAGGTGACGTGGTTACCACACAGAAAGAACCCAGCTAGACACCTGCGGACGGACCCCACTGTGCCCACACCGCGCCCTGGCTGCGCCTGTGACCTGCACAGGACACGCGGGCACCGGGGGCTCCTCAGGAAACCAGCCACCACCGCCTTCTCTTCAGAGCATCAATACCGTCCATTATCATCTGGCAGACGTCGTAATATGAGGAAACGGCTTTTGAAAAGCTCCTTCTCGTGCCTTAATTGACTGAATTACACTTCAAGTCTGTTCAGTGTAAACCAGGCTCAGTGTCCCGAGCGCGGCACGATGTACTCACTGTGAACTTCTCCTCGCTCTTCTTCTGGAAGCCAAAGGGAGTTTTTCCTAGGGAAGAGGAAAGCACAGGACTGTTAAATTTTTCCCCTTGAAACATATTTCACTGAGCACATAGGTAGTGCACGTATATTCAGCCTTTATACAGATGACTTCTGATTCTGAATTCCCAACCCTAACGAGCGTAAGCAAAACAGACATTTTACAGTAATGGACTAAACCTGAGGTCTAGCAAGGTAAGTAAAACACACACTGAAAGGATTTTCCCATTTGGAACTTCTGTTAGCATGCAAATACTTGAGTATCCGTTCAGTTGTAGAAGATGTGTAAGATCTGATCCTGAGCTACAAAGACGAACCATTAAAGAGCGGTGATGAACGCCCATCTGCGTGGTCATCACCAAGATCCCAAGCAGCTGCAGGCGCTCACTGCCCCGGCCTTCATGCTCTGGGCCAACAGCCTTCACTGGCTGAACCAACCACGCAGGTCGCGGAGCCCCTGTGCTTTCTACACCTGTCTGCCATCCTTACACCCCCGTTCTGGGCTCCCAGGTTGCAGAGTCACACCCGCAGGCAGCAGAGCCGTTCCACACGCCGCAGCCAAAACTGTGGGTGGTGCCCGGGCTTCCACGGCCTGACAAGCCACATACTAATTCCAGTTCATAATTTTACTTTTATTTACTTATCGATTGTCATTTCACTGAAAGCAAAGGCTCCCTAAGGGCTGTAT